GCCAGGCCAGCGAGCGATATGCAAGAGACGTACAAGTGCGCTACAGCCTTTTGAAAATGGCTCTGAGGCAATTTCATGCCATTTGCAGTTGACCAACGTAAAGGATGTATGTATGTAGGAGATATCTTTTTAAATACAAAAATTTACATTTTCTTTTAACGTTTCACTGTCATTTCTCTATTGCCAATCACCGGCAAATGGCAGAAGATACTGGATGGTAGTGCATAAATTTTCATTTCAAAGTTTCTGCAAGTAAATGTGTGTGTATGTTTGTAAATAAATAGTAAAATTACTCTAAAGTGCCTACCAGCTACCGACTGCTCGTTAAAAATGTGGAATTTCCGCTGGCAGATGAAGTGGTTAAGCAGCTTTTAAACTTCAAATATGTCTATTGTTGCACCCACGCACACTAAATGCCAGCGGCATTTGATGGCATTCCAATGCTAATGTGGCTGCTACTGTTGACTTTTGTTGATTGACGATATTTTGCGTGGCAATTTTCGTACACATTTGCCAACAAAACGCTGCTGTTGCATGCTTTCTTTTACGCTCGACATTGATACAGTCAATTTGTGAGCAATTTTCGCCCTGTAGACGAATTATTTTACCAATGCCCTTCTGTCTTTCCTTATTCCTTCTTTTAATTCTTTTCCCACCATCCTATTTTCATTTGTAGCAATCACATATGTAAGTTCTATAATTAACTCAACTTCTTAGCAAGTTCTTCCAGCTTTATTTTTTTCTTGTAGGTACTTTGCACGTTGAAAGCCACACGAGTAGCAGCAACTGCCTACAAGTAGTGAATATATGAGTATGCATGTAAGACTGCAACCAGTTGAGCAGCAAAACCACATTTTCTCACGTCATCTGCCGAGACAGGAGTTGGGTGGAGTGCAGCATCAGCATCTACGGAATCACAGCACAAATAATTTAATTAAAATAAAGAAATTAAAGACACATACATATTTATGTACATAAGTATGTACATACATATGTACGCTCGCCTTTTTGTTAGTTTATAATTTCATTTGGCAGATGCTGTCTACTGCTTGTTACCCAGACACCAACCCGACGAGTGAGCACACAAACCGGCCTAGCTTCACGATCAGTTTGGCTCGTCTTTGACTTCACTCGCTTACATTGTAACTTTGCAATATACATATGTACACCTCTACTTATCCAAGTACATATGAGTCTCGTTGTCATGTGTACGGACGCGCGTTTGTGCTGGTAATATGAGATCAGCAACCAGTCAACGAGTCAGACCCATACCCATCAGCTTCATTGCAGTCGGTAGCCCAGGCAGCCGCGTCATCACACCAATATCTACACAATATACTCCACTCCACTACTTGTTTGCTCATCGCAAAATGTGAATTTGTTCGTCTTCCATTTAACAAATTGCATGCATAAAAAGTGATTTAATAATTTCACGAAATTCTCTATTAAAACGGTTGCCCGCCGCCTTTTATTGTTTGCTATTCCTCTTTTTTTATTTAAAGCACTCAAGCAATAAAGAGCAATGAATGGCGAATTGCAACAATAAAATATGTAAAATTTACTACAGAGAAGATCATAGGAACAAAAATAGCTTCAACAATGAGTTGTGCAATAACAATAACAAACTTCAAGCGCAAGGACTTCATTTACAATTGCCTCATTCATCCGCCATTACAATTTCCAGTTTCCGGTCTGTGGTTTTTTGAATTCTCTGCCTCTTCCACAATTTTATTATTTACATGTATTTAGCAGAATTTCATTGACCTATAGCCGTTGAAGGAGCCCACCGGTGCCTACAAATTGTTTCGTAGTTCAGCGCCTTTGACATGGTTGAGTTAACATGTCCCTCAACTAAAACGTTTGATGTTGTTGTAACAGCATATAAATTCCCTAGAGCTTTTGGGGCTTGAAGCTAGAGTTAAAATCCTCCTTGGTCAGACATAAATCGGGTAGTGATGGGGTGACAATTGTACGGGATTGCTTTTATAAAATTTTATTGCAAAAATGCAGCATTTGTTAAGTAGCTAATTACAAACATTAGTATGGATGATGATGCGATCAGCTGGCGGAAAATTAAGATTATCAATTAAATACACAGCGGCCGCTGTGATGTAGTGGCAAGCAGTGCGCCGTACCATTCCGCAGGGTCTGGGTACGAACCCAGTTTCTGACTAATATAAAAAAAATAAAATTCGAATACTTAGCGCTCGCCCCTCTGTAAGCAATGGCAAACATCCGAGTGTTTAGTGCCATGAAAACAGCTTCTCATAAAAATACGCTCGCCGTTCAGAGTCGGAGTAAAACGGAAGGTTCATCCCCTTTGTGTGACAACATCAGGGCGCACACCACAAATCGGAGGAGAAGCTCGGCCAAACTCTTACATATTGTGTAAGCGCCAATCCATTATTATTATTGATTAAGGACCGTTTTCTCAAGTAGGTTTTAATATTTAGCCGCCTTTTAAACACAAATTATTTTCTGAAAAATGTCTTAATTAATCAGATAAATTTTAAGCCGTAAATGAGAAAATGGCACTATATACACAAGGATCGTAAGGGAAGATTAACCGGCCCCTAAAAATGTAGATACAAAAATTATTCTTGAATCGGGGTAATGCGATATTTGCCTTACTACCTTTGATAAAAGTTCAGTTAATAGCCGAATGCTTTTTATCATTCGCGTTTGAATTTATAATTTTCTTGCTGATTCATCTGGCTATCGTAGGGAAACATGGCTAGAAAGCTCACTCGAGCACACCTGTTGTCCCTTTTGTACACATATAAATTGATAACCAGTTTCCAGCTGCCGATACACAGCCTACAGGAATTCCTAAAGTGATCATGATCCGCAATTTCACCCAATTTCATATTCTTAAACACAAATAAATATCAATGTAAGTGTATACATTTTTAATAAGATAAAATTCTTTAAACTTCAACTCACTTTGTCCAGGCACTTAAGCTCCTCGATGGGATACACCACTTTCTGGCAACGTGCACAAGTTTTATTCATTTTGGGACGTTCCTGCTCGTATTTAGTAGCTGCTATTTTTTTCTCTTGATCGTCAATTTACTTTGCCTGTTGATGCCGTAGATCACGCGTG